CGTTACAATGTTCCATTATGAGAGTCTTAGACACATTCATTGACCTTATAGCCATCTTAACTTTTCTTATAAAGCATGGGATGCTTTAATCTTTTGACTAAATGAAAGATGGGTTGGTTACTTCACTTACATATGTCTGCCTAATGTGGCATTGTCATCATCTTGAAGTTGCTAGGTAACAGGAAGACTCAGTCAAATAACTAGGGTTTATCACAAAGTAGAGCACAATTTAACGTAAAACAATAAATGCACAGCTTGTTATTTTAGATGTCCATGATGTTTTTTTATGGAAATAAAAGTTATAAATTAAAATTCAAAAAATTAATTTCCATTAGCTTGACCAGTCATAATTTCCATACAATAAGGAAACTAGTAATCAGGGTCTGCCTTAGCAATGACATGAAAATATCTGCTAGATATGAAAGCACTTTGTATTTTAAAATATGAATAGAAAAACGTTATTAATATTAACGAGGGTCTTTAATGGGTTTGCAAAATCAAGATGTCTTCTACAACAGCCAATTTTCAGAATCACTGGCTGTTTTGCTACATTAGCTAGCAAAAATGTTATCACTATATTTGGAACAAGCGTGAACAGGAGCTCAATTATTTAGTTATTGTATCACTGGGACTGTGAGTTGAAAGCCAAACGTGTGGTGAAATTGTTGCTTTCATGTACTTAGACCAAGATGAAGAAAGAACAACCATCTGATAAATGCCTCAGCTAGTTTTGATTGATTGTAGCTTGACTCAAAGGACAGCACGGTAGCTCAGTTGGTAAAGCTGACGCCTCTCAGCGAGAAGGTTGCCGGATTGAATCCCAGCCGGGGGGATTTTTACGTGGAGTTTGCATGTTCTCTCTGTGTATGCATGGGTTTCCTCTGGGTACTCTGGTTTCCTCCCGCAGACCAAAAACATGAACGTTGGGATAATTAGTAACTCTAAATTGTCCCTAGGTGTGAGTGAGAGAATGAATGGTTGTCTCGTTTGTCTCTCTGTGTCCCTGTGATGGACTTGTGAGTCCAGGGTGTCCCCTGACTCTCGCACAGTGAACTTTGTTGACTGCTGGATGGGCACCAGTGACCCCCGTGACCCGAAAAGGATAAAGCGGGTAAAGATAATGGATGTATGGATAGATGGATGGCTTGAATCAAATCTATTGTGTTCCTGTTGTATGTTGCGTTAATTACAAACAAGAAACCCCAAGTGTGAAAATGAGGTCACGTTTAGGCTGCAATAGCCACTTATCTAATATTTTCATTCTGAATGCACCATGGTTGCTCTAAAATATTTCAACGGTAAACAAACTATAGTACTGATCAACCCCACAACATGCTGGTGCTCTGCACAGGAACACTAAAAAATGAAATGTTTCAGTGACCCAACTTGGTTTCATCAACTGGTTCTACTAAACTTGGTTGTTTGAATGTAAAAAGTAATAATTAGCACCAGCCACCAGAAGACAAATGTGGACGGTGAAGTTTATTCCAGTTTTTGTGGTTATAGACTTGTGTTTCTCATAAAGTACTGGATGAAAATCAGTGAAACTGTGAAAATGATCAATGGACGTGCATCTACACTATAACTGATTAACATTAGAAATTAGTTTGTTTCAAGATAGCTGCCACAACTGACTGGAAAAATAGCAGAAATGTCTGTCAATGTCTCTGTCAATTTTACAGGTAGTGATTAAAAATAGGTGTGGTAGTAGCTAAGACTAGTCTCCAACAGTTATGTTGAGTGCTAACAGGATGTGCAAGATCTTAGATTTTTTTAAATTGCTATTAATTTACAGTCAACTTTTTCTTATAGCAAAATATACCATGGGAAGGATTATCATCAAACGATTACGAAATAATCATTGTGTACATCAACAACTGATTAATTTTTGGAGCAAACCCAATTCAAGTTGGTCGTCACAGCAAACCGACTAAAACACAAAAATGGCTTTTATTCAATCAGTTCTAGAGATTTAATACCATAAGAACAGGTGTGGTTGCAGCTGTCAATAATCTCCAATCCGCTGAACACTATTGTGCAAGACCTCCATTTAAAAATTGGCGTCACCCCAAAATATAGCAAAATATCGTGTAAACCATTGAGACTTTCAGAAAGTAATCAATAAATGCACATCTACAACAATAACCACTGGACTCAATCCAATTCAAGATGTCCAACACAGCTAATCAACATTAGCCAAACAAAAATCAATATGGCTTAGTCAGTTTTACAAATACTGGACTAAAACTGGATGTAACAATTGCTATTCATACTCTAAGCTGAACACACTGTGATACTGCACCTGGCATTATTTTCAAGGTTTGATTAAAATGGCTACAACAGCTTCATTTCACAGTATAAAATGATATTAGACTAAAACTCTGACCTGAACTCTTTCAAGAAAAACTATTCCTTCAATTATTTGAAGCTTTATTTTCAACAGGTTTGGGGAGTGGTGGTACAGAGGTTAGAGAAGGCGAGTCTGTGATCGGAAGGCCACAAGATCAAATCCCTAGATCCATCCATCCATCCATCCATTTTCTTTACCCGTTTATTCCATTTTGGGTCACGGGGGTCGCTGGTGCCCATGTCCAGCAATCACTGTGCGAGGGGCGGGGGACACCCTGGACAGGTCGCAAGTCCATCACAGGGCCACATAGAGACAAATGAGACAAACAACCATTCACTCTCTCACTCACACCTAGGGACAATTTAGAGTTACCAATCAGCCTAACATGCATGTTTTTGGTCTGTGGGAGGAAACCGGAGTACCTGGAGAAAACCCACGCATGCACGGAGAGAACATGCAAACTCCACCCAGAAAGGCCCCTGGACCGGGGTTTGAACCACGAACCTGCTCACTGAGAGGCAGCAGCTCTACCAGTTGCACCGTGCTGCCAATCCCTAGATCATTACAAAAAAAAATTAGATGGGAAAAGTGAAGCACCCATATCTGCCTCCACCCTCATTTGCCCCAATCTGGGCCCTTGCGTTATGCCTTAAACGCCTCATCTGCTCCCCGGGCGCCTTAGATGGCAGCTCTCTGCTCCGCACAGCAAAAAGGGCCTCTGGGGCTAAAAAGCCGCTCGTCCTGAGCCCGGTTCTGCTGCAGGTTTCTTCCTGTTAAAAGGAAGTTTTTCCTTTCCACTGTTGCATTTGTGCTTGCTCAGGATGGGAGACTGTGAGAATGGAAGATTCAATGCAGTGTGCTGGCTTCCTTAGATACTTAACTTTTACAGATTGGCTTTTATAATGCATGCGGATGTTTCTGTTCAGTGCCCTGAGGTATGACTTCTGCTGTGACTTGGCGCTATAGAAATAAAGTTGAATTAAAACAACTGCCACATTTTCATGCGAGTGCTATCACTGTGTATAGCAAACCCTGAAGAAGAGAACAGGCTAAAGAAAGACAAAAATATCATGGATGGAAATGGATTAAAAACATTTCAAACAATAGGTCTTATTGGCCTAACGCACATGTAGGAAAGTGCTTTAAACAGTCTTAATTCATCCATCCATTATCTTTACCCGCTTCTTCCTTGTTGAGTCGCGGGAGCCACTGGTGACCATATCCAGCAATCACTGTGCGAGGGGCAGGGGACACCCTGGACAGGTCTCTAGTCCATCACAGGGACACACAGGGACAAATGAGACAAACAACCATTCACTCTCTCACTCACACCTAGGGACAATTTAGAGTCACCGATCAGCCTAACATGCATGTTTTTAGTCTGTGGGAGGAAATTAATACCCGGAGAAAACCCACGCATGCACAGAACAGACAGAACATGCAAACTCCACCCAGCAAGGCCCCCGGCTTAGATTTAACAATCCAGCAACTTTCCCACTGTGAGGTGACAGCTCTACCCGCTAAACCACTGTGCCGCCCCAGTCTTATTTCAGTAATATGAACTGTACACTTTAAATAAGAGTTCAGTCATTTGTAAATAATGTTCTGTTAGAAAGTCATCAATAGTGAGCGTCTTTTCAGTCATGAGGTAACATTAGCGCAGTAGCACAAGACTGACCCACAGCAAACTGAATAAATGGTGTCATGTACAAATGCCTGGATTTAAAATTAGCTACTGAGGTGTTTTTCCCACCTTTGTGTTTTTTAGTTGTTTTGAAAAACATTTTTTTTAAACTGGCACCTCATATGGATAACCATTAGTGTAGGCTAGCGTCCTGACTGATGTCACAACTATTTCATCGCTCCAAACATAAAACTATCCCGTTCATCAACATGGTAAGTTGGATACAATTAAACGTATATGGATGCAAATTTCCTTTTTTTTTTTTTTTTAAGAGTGTAACATTTCATGAACATCAGGAACCACTGGATATGATCCAGAAATGAAGTTCAAACAACATTCCCAGTTCTCAAGAGCAAAAAAAAAAAAAAAAAAAAAAAAGGCCCGAATTCAGACAAAACAAATCACAGGATGATGATGATATGTTGCAACATATATAAGGATATATATGAGGAGAAACATCTTGCAGCTGATTAGAAACACAACCTGGGGGGTGTTTTCAGTTCTCAACATGCACGGCTGAGGGAAGCAAACAAATCTACATGATGCAAGCGCAAGACAGCACAAAGACCGGACCGCTGTCACGTGACAACCTCACGAATATATGGCTCATATTCAGGTCAATCAGGAAATCAAACGCTGCAACCAGCCCCCTCATCCCTGCGACCCCCACACCTCGGCCTCGGGTGGACTGATGCACGGCCAGCTGAAAATGACACGAGGAGGCGAGTGGGGGGTTCTAGTCCACGATCATGCGCATCTTCATAACACAAAGCACAATTTACAGCGCTAACTGCATCTGTAGAAGAAGAAAAACATCTGGCACGCTCATCGGCTCAAACACAACATCCGGCCATATTCCCAACAGGCTCGTGAGATTCCAGCGATTTTCCCTGTCAGGCCAGCGCGCGGATGGGAGGTGTGAGGCGAGCAGGAGGAGGAAACAGGGATGACATTGCGCCTGCTTACTGTAAAATCAAATCCCTCGGGGGATGAAGAGCCTCCCTGCGTCCCTCTGGACTCCCCTCCTTTCCGACGTGCGCGAATCTCCCGAAATTCAGACCATGCAAAGCAGGTTGTAGTCTGTCATTCCACGCACACCCCTGCTCGGAAGTCGCCCCTCCAGCTCCGTGGTGTGAAAGAAGAGAGGAAGCATCAGAAGGAGGAGAGAGCCAGCTGAGGGGAGGAGATGAGGAGGGAAGGTAGGAGCGGCTGGGCAGGAGCACTGCGCACAGGAGAGGAGGCAAGGAGAGCGGCAGAGGTGCTTTCCCTCCCTCCCTTCCTCTCTTTCTCTCTCCCTCTCTCTCTCTGTCTCCCACTCCTCCACCCTACCCATCACCTCCTCTCATTCCCGCCAGACAGACCGCTTAGATACAGGTGTCTGCAGCGACACCCAGCGGAGATTAAAGGAACTGCAACGTAGTGAGTTAGTGCCACATGTCGATAATAGTTGAAAGAGAAAAGC